AACTTTAATTTGGTCGTTGGATCCTTTGGACAATTCAATTTTGGTTCTTTGGTTATATTTGGATACTTTTGGACATTTGGCTATTATTGGCGAATACGTTTGGAATAATTTCACATTTGCTTGGTAATCGAATTCGAATAAAACATACAATGGAAACTAGAAGCAAAAAGCTGAAGGAGCAGGACGAAATGGATGGTAAATTTTCTAAAGCTGTTTGTGGTATGTCTGATGTTAATGATGATAAACTTGATGATATTAGTGTTAATAGTAAGCCTTCCTCTCAGTTTAGTACTTCTAGATTTAAGTTAGATAAGGCATTAATTAAGAAGAAGAATTTGGAAAAGAGACTTGAGTTAGAAAAGCAGCTTAAAATGTTAGAGCTTCAAGAGGAAGTTGATATGGCTGAATTAGAATGTAAGCTCATAGAAAACGATGTAAAACCTCTTGATGCGTGTCCTAGCAAGAAGCCCGTTGGTGTAACAGATAAGATGGCTTTTCTAAGTATGGAAAAGAAAGAACAGGGTGAAAAGTGTAGGCATCAAGATGGATCCGAAGTGTGTGATGGTAAAAGCCTCTTAACTGCTCGAACATCAAGGAACGGTTATCTGGATTCGAGCAAACAGAGGTTAGTGAATAAGAACAAAGACGAAACAGGTTTGACTGTATGGAATAAAGCTTATGTTCGGAACCTTTCACGTAACGTAAATTATTTAACAGGACCTAGAGTTGATCCTAGGACAACAAGTGTATATAGTGACACAGCACTTCATGTTGCTGAGCAATCAGGATGTCTGCAGGCTACTATATCTAGTTCTATGGAGCATCATGATATTGAAGCGGAAGATAATAGCTGCTTAGCGCGTCCTGCTGATGTTTGTTTACGGTCAACGGATGGACGGTCGTATACTAGTCGAAGTAGTCATATCGACATTGATAGTGTTAGTGAAAGTGGTAGCGTAGCTTTGAAGCCTGCATGCCAACTATCTCGCAACTCGTCATTAACTGTGAATAGTCGGAACATCATTGTCGACAACAATAACGTCAAGGTGGAGGTGAAACCCCATGTATCTATTAATAGTGTAATTGATGTGAATAATAAACGAGATGGTAACGATAGTGGAATCATTATAGGTAGTGCTGTTTCGTCGGTTGACGCTGCTAATGTAGCTTCTTTGAGTACTTCGAATCAAGACGAAATTGGATGTTTGAGAGTGGAGAACGTAGGCGTCGGTGGCAATAGCTTTAGCTATAGTGATGGCAGTACTGAGAATGCTAACATTCGGTACCCTGGGTGCAGTGAGGAGTCATCTAGGTTTAATGGACATGCTGTTGTTTTGAATATGCAGCATGAGGAATCAAGCATGGAATTGTCCACCTGTCGCACTTCACCATCATTGACTCGTACTACAGGTATCGGGATGAGCACTACCAACAGTGATAAGATAGAAGAGGTTAAGAGCATTCCTGGTAATGAAAGTATTGTTGATCGAGTAAAGTTGGATACTGTGTATGAGTCGACTGGTTATCATGAGAAGTGTATTGCTACTTGTACAGATGCGACTACCAATGATAATAGCATTGGTAGTACGGCGGGTAATAGTGATCTATGGAAGTTAAAGGACGCTCATCGTCGTCGAAATGATCGTACGTTACGCTTGCATACTGCCACCCAAGCTAAGAAGCATACGAAACAACATGATGCTACTATTACTAAGAAGCCTGAACCTCATGCTCTTTCGGATGCTACGACTAGCTATGGAAATAGTAGCCAGCAGAACCTTAGTAGTGACAGTGATAAGAAGGAGATAGAAGGTGTCAGCAGTCCACTTATAGTGACTAGTTTATCAACTTCATCGAATGAGCCTCCTAGTGTTTCGACGCCATCGGACCTCGTCACGAAGGTTAAGTTGATTGAAGATGCACAAGGTTGTGCAACTGTAACTGTTCCTATTCCGGTTGACTGTCAGTCGAGTGATGATGAGAAGAAAGTGTTTGATGGTAACAGCCAGTCTACAGTGCTGCGTGATGACGATGCTATTGTTGAGCATATGTCCTGTGCCGCTGAAACGGATGCTAATGCAGAACGGAATCACTTAGACGTTGATAATAAACTGGATGTCACTGATGTGACAAATGAGTTACCGACGATGATGAATACTGTTCAAACCTCCTCTGCATCAGGAGATGGAAGGATAAATATTGATCCTACGTCATGCTACTTAAGGTCTTCTGGAGACGATGAAATGTCAAAATTGGAGATCCCACCCTTGCATATTAGTTATGGGTCAAAAACTTCTGTTGATAAGTTAGCATCACGGACTTCATGGTATCTGCTGATCAGAGCAAGTGGTGGTGGATTGGCGACTCGTCCCCACGATAGAGAACGTAGTCCTTGGATAGGATATGACCAGTTTTACGACGTGTTGCACATGTTCGTGTGGGTTAATTGCATAAGGTTTATACTACCGTTAGGTCATGCTACGATAGATAGGGGAATCAAGGACCTGGTATCTAAGGTACAGGTACATAGTTAGTTTGATAGGTCATATCCATGTTGGAGGGCGGGTAGGCGTACTGCTGTAAGTCCTACTCGTTCTTCCGGTGTGGATTAGGGGATGAGAGTGAACCCTAAATTGAAGTGTTAGAAAGGGCTTGTTTTGCTTAGAGGGATATTGTGGGCCGGTGTAGAATTTATATTGAATGTTTGTTGTTGATTGCTTGTGATGCACATACTTGGATTGTTGTTATATATTCTTGTCGGTGAAAAGAACCAAGGTTCTTTTGGTCGGGAGTGTTACGGGAGAAACGAAGACATTTTGCTGATTAAAACCTTCATGTATAAATATCATTAATTTCACTGTTTTTGGGTACATTTGTTTTACTTAACTTGTGAACTTGTTTGAATTATTATTTGCGGACATATTGGACTCCCGTTTCTCTTTGTTGTTCGTTGCAGTTTTTTGCTCCAAGAGATAATAAATTAGAAGGTAATTGTAATTATTATAATTATTGTTGTTAGAACGACATTGGTCGTCTATTTGTAATAAATTATTTTGGTCGAATTTGTGATTTGGAATAAACTTTGGTATCTACTTTGGAGTTTCGTTCTTGGTATAGAAATTTGGGACCGTGAATTACAAATAGACGACAACAGTGCTTCATAAGATCAACGAGCAAAAAACTGGACGTAACAGCTAGTGGGGTTCATAAATTAGAACATTTCGACAAAAGAGACTGGGCCTACACTCTTTAAAATGTGTATAAACTGCTACCCTGAATACGACTCATTTATCTTTTCGCACATGAACACCATGCACAGTATAAGAGTGCAAGGTGTCCAAGAAGCTTCACGCGTCGACTACTGAAATAATGAATCGATCAACCTTAGACCACCATTATAAAGCCGGAAGTACTGAAAGGCCATTTCGTCCTGGTATGGGACCCATCAGCAGTGCGCATCCGCTGCTCCTGCACCTCGCAGGATTCAAACCCATGACTTTTAGTCTTGCGTGAAATGTATGTAATATGCTTATACGTATATCTTGCGGTAGGGAGAAAGTTTCAACATAAGTGGTTTTTGGATTATTTCTTAAAAAACAACACGCACATAAACCAGCACATTAAAAACTAAATGTTTCTGGATTTTTGTATTGCATGATAAAATTTTAGGATACGGTCAAAAGGCCAAAAAACTGGGAAACATGATGAAAAAACGAATATGCTTATAATAGGTTCCACACACTGTAGTTGTCCAAAGGTTCTAGAGTGTCCATAGTTCTTCCAGAGGACAGAAAAGTCGCTTCCTCCCCCAACTAGAAGGCTTTTAGCCGATTGATGCTGGTTCTATATTCGGCTCTGTTTTTCCAATTGTATAGTAGTTGGATTGCTTAGTATGCAGGTTCAAGAGGTTGACTTAATAAACCCCAGTTGACTGTAGTCGGGCAGAAATAGGTTTTTAAATCTGCTTGTATGAAAACGTAGGTCTCCATCAATTAAAAGAGATGGCAGATCCACGGGTTCTTCTTGAAACTTAAGTTGCGTACCGTAAAGGAATGAACTTCCTATAAATCGAACGACTGGAAAAGAATAACTACCGAAGACGAAAACACTGTATGGAACTTTTCACAATAAATTTATTATTATTGTTATGCACGGTATGGCTTTTTAAAGTAATAAAAACAACCAGACGCTGCTGAAAGTAGCTAGCGATCACAGAAGTGTTCGACAAGGTCACTCTCGTTTCGCTGAAACTTCTAGCTGGCCTCCTCTTAGACTTATCACTTTACCACTTATTGAGGTTTGCGCTGTAGAGACGTTTAGATAGGTAAATAATAAATAAATTTGTTAGCCTCCAACATCAGTGCTGACCATACCAGTTCTGTTGAACGCATCCTAGCTGAATGAGCTCGATCATACCTCTGCACCAGATCACCATTAGATGCGCAGTCTAGACATGTCGACCACTTTCCTGATATAGCTTTGAACTCACTCATTTCTAACTTCAGTTTCCTTTGGGTTAATGATCATCGGTTATAGGGTCGCTGTCATTCCCTAATTATCTGTAGCATCGGAACCCCTACCAAAAACGAAGATAATATGCAGATAAATTTCTCATTACTTAACGCAATCGTGGCTTAAATACCAAGGGCATACTCCTGAACTTACATTAACACCTAAGAAATCATACCATGGTCATGACTATGTCTTAACATGGATAAAAATATTAGCTAAAATCTTCTGTAAACTGACCCAAAAGGTAAAACTTGCTAGATTTGAGCAGTGGGATCGGGGTTGAGGAGTCTCATGCGAAGCAACTACCAATGCTTCCGGATTTCAATAATGATCGGACTTGGATCAGCTCATGCAGTTTAACAGTTTCTACAACCGATAAATAATTAAAGCCTACTTCTGAAAATACAATCTGGGGGAAAGTTCGGAGATATTAGCTATTGTATTTTGAGCATTGTTTTTACTATTATTTACAGAAATCTATCCAATCAAGCTAATCCACACAGATTTTGACCGCGTTGTTAGGATGTGTTACGAAGTTTCAGCTGCTGTTTATTATTTATTCACAATATCATGTTTCCACACTATAGGTATTGCAATGTAGTTTTCTAACCTTGATCGTTTAGCACCCTTGTCAGTTAGTGCTAGTGTAGAAGATGTATTGGAGAAAGGGACTAAACTTTTAGCATCCGGTAAATATGAGGAAGCTCTGTCTTTGTACAATGATGCCATTGGTATGTTAAAAGCACTTTTAATTTGTTAGCAAAAAGTCCTGATAGTTATATGGCTCACTATAAAAGAGGCACAGCATACATCGCACTAGCTAATTGCAGAATGTCTCTTTCAGATTTTAATAGAGCTCTGGAGCTAAATCCAGATTTCGTTCCTGTAAGTCAAGTTATCTTGTTTTATTTACAGGCAAAAAAACATCGGGCGTATGTGAAACAGAGGATGGGGAAGCTGAAAGAAGCCATAGAAGACTACGAGAGTGTGGTAGTGTTTTTGATTCCTAAAATGTATTGCATAGTCAAATCATGATACTGGCGCAAGCGCCAAAATATCTGAAATACACAAACTAAAAGATCAGTGGGAAGATGCTCGCAAACTTTTCGGGAACAGCAAATACAAAGAAGCTCTTTCGTTACTGGATAAATTGGTAGAGTCAATCGACTTTGCTGAAGAGCTACGTGAATTGAGAGCTAGGTGTTATTTAAGCTTGGGAGAAGTGCAAAAGGTAAGGTTTAAAGTTTATTATCGTCTTCAGGGTTTACAAGAAATGAGATTCGGTGTCCATCTAACTAATGATAATCGTGAGGGATTGCTGAGAATCAGTCAAATAATGTACGACTCTGGGTTTGCAGTGCAGGCTATCAATGAGCTTCGAGAATGTCTCAGACTTGATCAAGATGATAAGGCCTGTCTGAGTTTTTACAAAAAAGTAAATAAAGTTGCCAAAGCTATAACAGCCACTCAAGAGGCCTTGGAAGCAGAAAGGTATTCTGATTGCATCAAGAAAGCAGAAGAGATAGTGAAATTCGAATCTTCAAATCCTGAATACGCTAATCAAGCGAATATTAGCCTCTGTCACTGTCATGCAAAGGTGAGTTATTCATATCCTACCCCTAAGTTTTTTAATAATGGAAGAACTCCCTACTCGTTACTGATATGCTAAGTGTTCGCTTGTTCGAAGAGTCTTGTCAGTTCAGTTTATTCACAATCTAAGCATGGCTAATCATCCAGCGTACACATTCTAATGCGATCTTCGATTTGTTTTATGCTTTATTTCTATTCAAATACCGCCAAAGAGTAACCCAGTGGTTAAGTCATCCGACTTTCAGATGTTCAGAAAGCCTGGAACCATACTTCTCTCATTCCGTTTTGGACAACCAGGTAGTATCAAACACCACGTATCTGGCGAATGGTTTAGTTGAAAAACGGGTTTTTTGCAGAAGGCATCTTTCACGTAACTGCGTGCAGCAATGAAACTGATATTTATCCCTCATTAACCATAAGGTTTCACGTGCTTTGTCACTCCATTTGATTTTTCAATGTATAACATGAAAGTTAAACAAGATTGTGCACTTATAAGCAAATCAGTTATTATTTCTGATTACATCAAGAATCTATGTCAAGTAGTATAAATGTAAAGATGTCTAACTTATACTGCATGCCTCAAAATATTTCACGACGGATAAGTCAGTACTTTAGAGGTTAATGTCACTTCTGAACGTAGATTTTCTTGACAGTAAGCAATGAGATTTCTGGGTATTCTTCTTAATCATTAAAATGTTTTGATTACCTTTGGGTGGGTAACTGTCCTTCTTAGTGAGTTATACTAATCGTCACATTTTCCACCTTAGTTTGGCTAATGATTCTGATTCCTTATCTTTTATGTCGCTAACGAATTCTATTTGGAATTTGTTTGCTGACGACTTCTCCAGGCCATGGCAAGTCATTTAATTCTTTCTGTTTAGGTTTTACCTGTCTTTTAGCCTTTAAGTAAATGCTATTCTCAGATTTAGTTCTAAAATGTTACTACGGCAAGTTGGCTAATAGTACTCAGGAATAAAAGGTATGTCTCGTGTACCGAATGTGTGATACTTGAACACTTGGAACATCAACTCAGTAATACATAATATGATGATGAAGTTTCAATACTTCATCTATTGACCTGCCATCCTTACCTAGCACCCGTTCCCCCAAAAGAGCATTGCTTAATTGATGATCACAGGACGTATAAGCAATGATTCGAAGACGCCGATGATCGAATACCAGTAACCTACGAATACCCTCTACTCTTACCGTCCATGTTTCACACCCATCTAGTCGGACGGAGCAATGGCGTAGGTGCTTCCACTCTTTGTGTTCTCTCTAATTCTAAGCTTCTTCATTCCTCATAATCTCTACCTTTCTCCTAAATTTATCTACTGAATTACACTTCTCGAATCATATCTTTGCTCCCTAATCTTCTCCATTACTGCTAATACTTCTATTATTGCTATCACTCTTGGATTTGAACTGACAGTTGCGTCTCTGTGCTGATGGGGCATGGCAACCTGAACTGATGTACTCACGCACGAAGTTCTGCGTTGTATCTGTCTCTCTGTCGGACGGAGCGGACAGCTTCGCAGTAAACTCGTCCTTTGTTTGGCAGACGGATATCTCGCCTATGCCATAAGCGACGCACGTTGGCAAAATCTAGTCAAGTTTTCTGTATCCGTGCTGAGATTCCATCAAACACCAGGCCATCAGCACTAACGAGACTCAAAATAAGTAAAGCGGTCCACACACATCTGCTTCACTCCCTCTCACTAGTTCAGGTGTTAATGCAAGCCAATCTTGAAGCAACATTTCGCATTTCAACGGGGAGAGTTGTGTCCCGAACATGCGTGCAGTGTTGCTTAGAGTAGTCTGAAGACTGCATTCTGTCAGCGTCTTCACCAAATAGAACTATGTCATCGGCATATTCTAAGTCAACCAATGAATTTCCTGGTAGAAGGGCCCACTTTTGAAGACTCAGAAGAAGATAATGTCACATCTAGAAGCATGTCTACGACAAAGTTAAACAGGAATGGAGAACGTGGGTATTCCTGACGGACACCACTTGAAGTAAAGAATCTTGATGACAGTTCGCCATAAGCTCTCATTCGACATGTAGTGTTCGAGCAGAGAGTCTGTATAAGGTTATGTACTTCTTTGATACTCCATTCAGTGACAAACACTGCCATAGAACCTGAATATTGACAGAATCGAATGCCACCTTAGGGTCGAACGTGAGTCTATGATCTAGGATCTGAATATTTGGTCTATACATCCTTGTCCAGATCTGAAACCAGCCTAGGATTTCTGAGTCTGCTGTACACGAGCTCTAGTTAGGCGTATAAGTATTGTTGAGGCTAACAATTTAGACACTATCAGTTAGACTGATCCCTCTGTCGTTGACAGAAGAGGGTTGTATCTTTGATGCTAAATCTTTTTTGTGACTACTGATAGTGTTTTGAGGTAGTATTCTCTGAAATTATAATCCTATGAGTTCCTTATGACAGCTTCTTTTCTCTTTTTAAATTTATTTCACTGGGCTATACTTCTCAAAGGTTGTCTTCTGTCTCTGATCTCTCCCATCATCTTTAATACTGCTACTACCTCTACTACTCTGTGATATGACCTGGCAGTTTTATCTCTATGCTAACCAGGTTTACAACTTGCACTGATGTACGTTTGTAGCAAGTTCTAGGTTTTAGCTGACTGCCTGTTTAAATAAATAAATAATAAATTAAGCTAACTCCATTAAGACAAATGGGTTTTGTATGTAGGTTTCATAGACAGCATAAGTAAACGCCAGGAGTCTTAATTAAGCCTACCGGTTAAATTAACATTGGATTCAAACATTAAAAGCTGTTATGTGTAGTCTAATGCACGATGAAGACGTATCTAAAAAATATTTCGATAACTGTATTAGTGCGGTTAATGAAACCAAGAAAGGTTTGTTAGGCCTCTTGAGCACTGCTGGGTGTGGATAAGCATTTCAGTCAGTCAGTCAGATGCAACGTAGAACTTCGTACGTAAGTACATCAGTTCATGTCGCCATACCACATCAGCACAGAGATGTAATTGTCAATTCAAATCCAATAGTAGAAGAGGTAGTAAAGGTATTAGAAGTATTCGGAGAGGTTGGGATTAGAAGATATTATTCAACAAGTATGATTCAGTGAGAAAAGTTTAGAAAGTCAAAACTAGAGGTGTTGAAGAACCCAGAAGATTAGGATTTGAGAGAACACAAAGAATAAATGCACCGGCGCCATTGCGAACGATTTTGAGTCATGTCATTCAAGGTCTCTAACCATCGATTATTATCATCTCGCGGACCCCAACCAGGTAGTCGACAATTACCGACATGGCTAAGTCCACTCTTCAATGACTTCATGGATTTCTGCCATGTTTTGGTTTGGCCGCCCCTAACTTTCTTCCAACCTATTCCTACACTACAAAATAAAGCTCTTCGAGGCAGTCAGTGGTTAGGCATACGCAACACATGTCCCAACCACCTCAACTGATGAAGTTTCATTTCTTCATCTACTGATCTGCCATTCTTACCCGATTCCTAATAACAGCGTTGCTCACTCGGGTGTCCCACGATATACGAGCAATGCTTCGAAGACACCTATGATCGAAAACCAGTAACCTACGAATATCTTCCACTCTCACTGGCCATGTTTCACAGCCATAAAGTAAGACGGAGCGAACTACTGCGCAGTACACTCGTCCTTTAGTCAGCAAACGGATATCTCGCCTACGTCATAGGTGACGCAGTTTGGCAAAAGCCAATCGAGCCTTCTGTATCCGAGCTGAGATTTCGTCAGTCACCAGGCCATCGGCACTGATGAGACTCCCGAAATAAGTAAAGAGGTCGACACGTTCGACTACTTCACTCCCTATCACTAGTTCAGGTGCCGATGAAACCCAATCTTGAAGCAACATTTTGCATTTCGAGGGGGAAAACCGCATCCCGAACATGCTTGCATTGTTGCTTAGGGTGGTCAGAAGACTCTGCATTTTGTCAGCGTCTTCACCAAGTAGGACTATGTCATCGGCATATTCTAAGTCAATAAGCGAGCCAGCAGGTAAAAGGTCTACTCCTGAAAATTCAGATGAGGATAAGGTTATTTCTAGGAGCACGTCTATGATAAAAATAAACAAGAATGGAGAAAGTGGACATCCCTGACGGACACCACTTGAAGTGTAGAATTTCGGTGACAGTTCGCCATAAGCTCTCACTCGACCAGTAGTGTTCGAGTAGAGAGCTTGTATAAGGTTAATGTACTTCTTTGGTACACCTTTCAATGACAGACACTGCCACAGAACCTCACGGTCCACTGAGTCAAATGCCGCTTATAGGTCCAGGAACACAACTATCGTCGGACGCCTAAATGTGTGTGTGTTCCAGGACCTGTCGTAGTGTAAAGATGTGGTCTATACAGCCACGTCCAGGTCTGAAACCAACCTGGTTTTTTCTAGTCTGCTCTTCACGAGTTTTCGTTAAGCGTCGAAGTATTACTGAGGCTAATATTTTGGATACTATACTAGTTAGACTTATTCCCCTGTGAATGTCACAAGAAGACTTTCGTCCTTTCTTATAGATTGGGACAATCAGTGATTGAGACCAGTCGGATGGTATTACGTGCAGTTCCCAGATTCTACCTAAGATCTCAGTCAACCTAGTTGCTAAAACTGGACCACCATCCTTAAATGTCTTAGTGGTCAGTCTATCAGGACCTGCAGCTTGCCCTCGCTTCAGATTTCTTAACGCTTTCTCAACTTCATAAAGACTAGGGGGACGTACGTCGATTTGCCATTCAGGATGACTGGAGATCGTGGGTAACTGAAGAGTGGCTCGAGGCCAGTTGAACTGATCCTTAAAGTGTTCTGCCCATCGATCCAGTCTCCTGGATTGAGAATAAATAATGGTCCTATTCTTTTCCGATATGGTCTCACTTACACTTTTATTTCTAATACCTGTTTCCTTGATAAGTCGGAAAAGTTGTCTACTGTTGCCTATCGCCACTGCCTTTTCCATCGCTTTTGCCTTCGCCACCCACCACTGTTCGCGGTCGTTACGTAGGCTTTTTATCAGCCTGCGCCTAAGTTGACTTCGTTCTTCATCATGTTCAGAGCCGGGTGGGATGAGTTTTCGGGCATCCATCAGATCGGTGGATGCTACAGAGATCCATGGCTTCATTCTAGCCTTCTGGTTAGGCTTACTAGCAGATATTGCTGCTGTTTCCACAGCCTTCTTGATATCCTTCCAACCTGCGCCCGGATGGGAATCGCTTAAATGGTCGCCTAACTGTCTTTCTAGTTGTTCCTGGAATATATTCTTTTCCCTATTATCATTAAGTAAAACCCTAAAAGGCTTTCTTACGGTGTCTTTCCTACGCCCAGTAAGCTTCAAACAAATACGCGCTCGCACTAGGGCATGATCTGAATCTAAACATGTGCCCCAGAACGAGCGACAGTCCTCTATCGAACCCCTCCATCGGTGGCTGATGGCGATGTGATCTAGTTGGGTCCAACGTTGAGACGACTCCGGCGGTCTCCAGGTCAAGATATGCTTTTCCTTATGCCTAAAGTTAGTGTTTGCTAGGAATAGGCGGTTATCTGAGCATAGTTGCAACAAACGGTCGCCATTGTCTGTTCTCTGAGCTGCGACACCATAACATCCACCTAGGTGTCTTTCATTTTCACTCAGTCTACCTACTTGAGCATTAAAGTCACCAGCCATTATTACTACATCAGAGCGCCTAGCTTTTTGGAGGAGGTCCGAAAGCCTTCTGTAAAACTCATCTTTAACCTCGTCTGAACTGCAGTCAGTGGGGGCATAGGCAGATACGATGAAGAGGCAACGGCGAGTGTCCCTATCTTTCCGAGTCCTTACTGTCCCGTTTAGTCGGACAGCGCACAAGCGACTATCTACAGGGATCCAGTCAAGGAGAGATTGTTCAGCTCTACGATTCAATGCTATGCCTACGCCAGCGAGACCCCTGGAAGCAACATCAGGGCTACCGGATACACGAAGAGTAAATCGAGCTGCTGGATAAGCATTTGACCTTTTCGCTATGCCAACACTATAGGAGCATATTTCTTCGGAAACCTGAAAAACACAGAATTACTGTTGATGGTTCCAAAGACTTGAAAATGTGACCATAGAAATATCGGCCTAAAACTGACAACCTACTGTTAGTTATTTTTTTGTTTTGGCTACGCACTTTTGAAGCTTACAGTTAGTACTGATAATTCGTAGGGCGGAGTGTTTTTTAGGGCCATTTTTCCTAGCTTGTACAAATATTCTGGTTATTCGCGCAAATACCACTGCCTCCACATTCAACTGACTAGCACTCAATCGAGTCATCGTAATATAAAGCCAGACTATCACATTATGTTAGTACCTGCGGTCTTAACTTAAACCCCTTCTATTTTGAGACCTTTTTCTGATCTATCTTCCCGGATGAAGGTTAGGATTTATACTCGCACTGATTACATGAAAATCTACTGAAAAACAAGTTTAAGTATATTTAAAGTGCTAATTATAGACCACCTTTCAATGCAAAGAAAACAGAATACCTAAAAACGTATGGTTCTCATCCATGCAATTCATGTTTTCTTATCTCTTAACCAAAATTTTTTTGCATATTTACATACGTTTATGGTGATTGTTTTGTTTGTCATGCTACATTTTTGTAGTTTATGACCCTTAATATACATCTATTTTTATGGTTTGTTCTGATTAAAATTTGAGGAGTCTGCATGTTCATATCATAAGTTATAGTATTTTACCTCTACAGTATTCGTGTTTTTGATTAACTGTCTTAGTCTAAAAGTGCTGATGGAGTCCCATATTGTGAATCTGTTGTTCGACATTATCCTGAAAGCACTGAATTCCAGCTCTACCAAGCTGAAGCTTACATGAATGCTGACCGTTTTCAAGATGGTAAGACTTTGTACAAGAATGTTTTTCACTGTATTTTAAGTTAAAATCTTTTTAATTAAATTTGGTAATGTTCTACATCTTTAAAGTTGATAGATCCATTGTTTCGGTGTATTGTCGTCAGCAAAATAGAATCCTACTCAATAACCCATTGATTCGAATAGTAAAACCTGATCGTTTCTGCTACCTTAACGTGATGACGGGGTTTACCTATCGTGTTTATCGAACCGACTTATATTGTCCGGAACACCTGTCCCCTTAGATTCTACTGTGTCATGCAGGTTGGTTTGCAAGCGGTAAGACTAAGAGCAGCAAGTTGGGTTCCGAGAGCAAACTCGTACTAATGGCTGTACTGGGGGATAAAAGTTGTAAAACGTTTCCCTCTGACAACCAGGTTTTGCAGCGATGCTACCTTCCCAGACGACAAAAGGGTTAGAAAAGATCAGGCTTGAAAGTTCTACACTTCATCATACCCACGGATATCTATCTCCGTCAATAAAGCCTTTTAAACTGCGAAGCTAACCGCTCGAATTATCCAGTAAGAAGTTTGGCATGACAGTAGTTCTAAGTGGAAACGATCTACGTCAACAAATACAGTCGGAAATTTCAAAATCGGTGGTATTTTTAGATGTTGATTGATGATAAGAACATTATGACAATTTAAAATGAACGATAAATTAACTATTTGACTTAATGAATAATGTTTACTGTTACACTATCCCTCATTCTGATCACATCTACCTGCAGTTTCAACATTGAATGATATTTTACACAAATGACAGAATACCAGCGTCTCAACCGTTAAGAAATTCTTCACGCTTACCGATACGGTTCATTTAAAAAGGTTTGGGATTGAGTGGCCCCTCTGAGAAAAATAATTGCTTCTGTTTGAGCAGGCGAGTAGTATGCTATCTCTCAATCAAATTCAATGATTTGTGTGGTACATGTATATTTTGGTGCCTCTTTGTACCAATGTTCATGTGTTCAAATAAATAAAGTTTTGCCTTGTGCTCTATGGCCACTCTCCTAGACCACTAATATTAAGACTAACCCAGCATTTTTAGGTTGCTGAGGAGGCGTTATCTTTCCACTATATAGACGGCTGCGAGGTCTCAACCGCTATCATCCATCTAACAGCCGAAATAACATCTTGTTTCTGACCAAATCCTTCCCTCATTTTTTAATAGCTCTCCCAATTACTAACTATTCTGACATATCTTTATCATCTCGCACCACCAGTGCTATTGGCTCAAATTCACGAAATCTCATATTTGGTCTCCTAAAACTACCCTCTAAACGACATATTTGGGCTTTTAATGTTCGAACTTTGTGTCAGATACGCTAACATGCTTCCCCAGGCGAAACTCTAGCATCTTGTACCGCCGATGTATGCTGCGTCTCCGAAACGCGCATACACATTCTAAGTACAGTCATACTACTCGAATCGTAGTAGTATAAATCGTTCTCTACTGATCTTTTACATGCAATTTTAATATTTTACTTTGCTATCTAGCCATCTCAACATACCAAAAAATATTAGAACACGAATCAAATAATCGAAACGCGAAGGAGGGTATGAAAAAAGCTCAGAAGCTTTTAAAAGCAAGCAACCGTCGTGATTATTACAAAATACTTGGGGTTCCCAAATCAGCTTCTAAAAAAGATATTTTGAAAGCTTACCGAAAAATGGCTGCTGAATACCATCCGGATAAATTCCAGGGTGAAGAAAGAGTGCAAGCTGAGAAAAAGTTTGTTGAAATTTCTGCAGCTAAAGAGGTTCTTACAGATGACGGTGAGTTTCCTTGAATTATGCCCTGAAACGTACTACTTTGCTTTTCAGAAACAGTTTTACGTTTTTTTTGATAAGGTAGACACTAGTTACTGTTTACAGTCCCTAAGAGTGTCACGTTTTAATTTAAAGTTTTTCAGTCAGTTAAACTTCACACCGACACCTTTTAATATGGCTGACTTCATTTTTGATTGGTAAGCGTTATGGCACTTCTAGAACATTTCGATCTTATAATGGAAGACTGTCATAAATAGAAGTACAAGTTAATTGTAGGAAGACAGGTGTATTATTATTAGTAAGAATAATAAAATACAATAACAGAAGTTTTTGTCAATAGTTCAAAAGTGGAAGTAGTAGGTCAAACGTGGCTTAATATTTCCACAACTTGTATTTGTTTGTAATTTTTCGCCTCTTCCCATTTATATCCTTCACCATCTAATAATTTCACACGCTTCTTGTTACGTTATTTTAATAGAGCTTTGTGATCATTAGTTTAAGTCTACTTGTCCACGTTTGACCTACAACTTTCGCTGTTGAACTATCGCCAAAAACTCTTGTGATTATGTTTTATTATTCTTACTACTAATAGTATGCCTGTCTTCCGACAACCAACTTGTACTTTTGTCTATTATGTGTAGTTACCTAGTCCATTTCATTGTGATTATTGATTCGAAAATTGCCTTGATTGGTTTAACATTGTCATATAAATATTTATGTATATTAAAACCTGATCACGATCTAATTGAAAACGATGTTGTTCGTTCATGTGTTGTTTTAATATTCACAGTGGGTGTGGCTAGTGGTGGCTGCTTTAATTTCTACGTTTAGGCTCACCAATTTTTAGTCTCTGCGTTGGATTCGATATCGGGCTTACTACTTTAGTGGCTTCGTTGAACTCGAAGTAGGGCTCACCATTGTAGTAGCCTGCGATGACTTCGATATTTACGAATGATCCAGTATGCGATGAAGTAAATCTCCCCTAAAGTTTCCGTATATCATACTTGGTCGAACTCCGTGCGTGCGACGACGATAATAAAAAGTCAAATACAGTCAAATACCCGTAACAGCACGCGAGACCGAAGTGATCGAAATCAAATCCTTCGTACACCCCATACCATCTCTCTTATCTCCACGATGAACTCTACTCACATTCCTTTATCACCCTGTACCGCTAATGCAAACGTTGCGAGCTCATGAAACGTTATTCCTGGTCTCCTGAAACCCCGTTCTAAATTACTTGCTGGAGCATTTAATGTACGGACATTGTGTCAAATAGGGCAATAGGCTCCATTGACTAGGACTTTAGAATCCCGCGCCATCGATGTATGCTGCGTCTCGGAAACGCGCATACAGGATCCTAGTAAGATCATTAATTTGACTTCACCTTGTCGAAATAAAGAATCAACTCGATTTACTCTTCATGTATCTGGTAGCCTTGATGCTGCTGCTTTCCGGGGTCTCGCTGGTGTAGGTATAGCATTGATTAGTAGGGCAGAACTAGCTCTCCTAGACTGGATTCCAGCAGATAGCCGCTTGTGAGCTGTCCGACTGAACGGGACAGTAAGGACTGATAGACGCTCGAAAACTCATCCCATCTGGCTCTGAACATGCTGAAGAGCGAAGTCAGCTCTCTAAAAAGTTAAGTAAGCTATAGGAAATCTGAGGGGAGGATGAGCTGCAGGGCCTGATAGGCTAACCCCTGAGATTTTTAAGGATGGTGGTTAGATTGACCGAGATCTTAAGTAGAATCTGGGAACTAAGCGTAATCCCATCCAACTGGTCTCAATCGCTAATCGTCCCAATTTATAAGAAAGGACAAAAGTCCTCTTGTGACAATTACAGAAAAATATTTCTGACTAACATAGTATCGAAAATATTCTCCTCAATAATACTCCGACGCTTAACGAAAGCTCGTGAAGAGCAGACTAGAGAAACCAGGCTGGTTTTCGACCTGGAAGTGGATATATAGACCAGATATTCACATTACGTTAGGTCCTGGAACACAGACACACGTTCAGATGCTCCACAATAGTAGTCTTTTTCGACCTCAAACCGGCTTTCGACTCCTTTGATTGTGAGGTTCTGTGGCAGTGTCTGTCATTAAAAGGTGTACCAAAGAAGTACATTAACCTTATACAAGCTCTCTACTCGAACACCTCTGGTCGAGTGAGAGCTTATGGCGAACTGTCATCTGAATTCTGTACTTCGAGTGGTGTCTGTCAATGCTGTCCACTCTACACATTCTTGTTTAACTTCGTTGTAGACATCCTTTTAGAGTTAAGGGGGGTGGACCTTCTACCTGAAGAATCTCTTATTGACCTAGAATATGCCGATGACATAGTTCTTTTTGGTGAAGACGCTGACAGAATGCAACTACTCTAAGCAGCAATGCAAGCATGTTCGGGATGCGGTTTTCCCCTTCAAAATGCAAAATGTTGCTTCAAGTTTGGCTTGCAACGGCACTTGAACTAGTGATAGGAAGTGAAGTAGTTGAGCTTGTCGACCTCTTTACTTATTTCGGGAGTCTCATTTGTGCTGATGGCTTGGTGTCTGACGAAATCTTAGCGCGGATACAGAAGGCTAGATTGGCTTTCGCCAATTTACGTCATTTTTGGCGTAGGCGAGATATCCGTTTGCTAACCAAAGAATGAGTGTGCTGCGCAGTAGTTCGCTCCGTTCTCCTATATGGGTCCGAAACATGGCCGATAAGAGTATAAGATATTCGTAGGTTAATGGTATTCAATCATAGATGTCTTAGAAGCATTGTTCATGTATCCTGGGACAACCGAGTAAGCAATGTTGTTGTTAGGAAACGGATACTAAGTAAGGATGGCAGATCAATTGATGAAGTATTGAAACTTTATCAGTTAAGGTGGTTGGGACATGTGTTACGAATGCCCAACCACCGTCTGCCTCGACGATGTATGTTTTGTGGTGTAGGGGTAAGTTAGAAGAAAGCTAAGGGCGGCCAGACCAAAAAATGGCACAAATCCATGCAGTCACTGACGACTGGACTTAGTCATGTTGGTAGATGTAGGCTACCTGGTTGGGGTCCGCGAGACGAAAGTCACCAATTGTTAGAGACCTTGAACGTCATGGCTCGAAATCGTTTGCAATGGCGCAGATGCATCCACACTTTGTGTTCTCTCAAATCCTAATCTTCCGAATTCGTCACCACCTCTACCTTTGTCTTTCTAAACTTATCTCACTGAATTATACTTCTTAAATAATATCTTCGAGCCCTAATCTTCTCTATCACCAGTAATATTTCTACTTTAGCTACCGCTATTGGATTTGAACTGGCAGTTGCGTCTCTGTGTTGATGGGATTTAGCGACCTGAACTGATGTACTTACGTACGAATTTTTACTTTGTTACTAACTGACTGAAATATTTTTCAAGTTAATGGTTTATTTGGCCCTGATTAATATTTAGCTGGTTTGTACTTTAATTAAGTTTCATTCCTATTTTTATGGAAAAGACCAAGTTCTATTCTCCTGTATGAATTGAAATCGTTTGTTGTGCTGACTATTTCTTTTATGTAAACATGTGTCGCGAAAATTAACGAGGCAAACTTATGAATAATTAGTTTTTACTTTTTTCGCTGCATTCCTTTGACTGAGTGTCTTCCATATTAAATGTATGTACGTTGGTTTTAAATTAATGAGTTAACAATTTAAGGTTCCCGCTTTAGATGTATCGTTCTGAAAACATTTCATTCTTTACAATAATGATTGGGAATAATGATGCTGTATACCACCTGTTGAATTTTCCTTAGTACGAGTGAATGAACTATTTTATGTCTTGTTTATCATTCTTAAATTTATCCAGAGAAACGTGCACAGTTTGACAATGGAATCGATCCACTGGATCCTGAACAGCAAGCTCAAAACCCGTTCGGTAATCATCCTTTCAGTGGTTTTCCGTTTGCCCATATGAATCCATTCGAAGGTGCTCACTTTGAGTTTCATTTCGGATAAATTGGCATTTTAAAATCGACAATTCAGTCTCCGTTTTTCTCAGCCTCTCTCACTTACTTTCAAGTCGTCTAGAAAATTACTTTTTACTTTTTTACTACCTTGATTTAGTCTTTCGAAGTGTCCTTAAACATCGTGTTGTACATAAAACCTCAGTTTTGCTTCTTTTTTATTTTTATGTTATGGTAACTGATCAGATTGATCGTATCACCTCTGTGTTTTATCTGAATAATAAATGTCTTTTACTACATTCCTGATCGAAACATGACTTTTCAAAAAACCTTCACCTTGTTCTCATGTTGAAATTTTTTATCAAGTCATTTGAGTTATTTTATTTTTAGGTGTGAAGAAATGACTATAGTACTTCGCCATTTTAGGATATAAATTCTTCAACTAACTCGTTTTTTATCCAGATAATTCTCATAACAGCTTGTTACATTTCGCGTATTTCAGCTGTTTCACCCTGGCTAATAACTTCATCAATAATCAGTTACTCGGTTTTCTTTTGTGAGATAAAACGTTTAATTACTTAATGATCATGAATATTACTTTGTAAAATATTAAGCTTAATTAATACAGATGGTTTCTGACTAAAAGCTACGGTACAGCATTCCTAGCTGGGGGAGCGTTTTGTTAGTGATGGAAGCTAAATCTTTGTCCAAACTATTGATTGGATATCATTTAGGTAAAGTAACTTATTGCATTTATTATCCAGAATACTTGGTGGAGGTAGAAAAAGTTACTATTCCAGAGGATGAATGTCACTTATGCTTTCGGGGTACGTCTAATTGATTAGAAACGATTATATCTAAATGTTGAATGTACCAGAACATCTAATTAAGAAAAATTTTATATACGATTAGGTAAATAAAATTAATACAGTACCATTCCTAAGTTAATTGATCACTGACATAAACATTCTCATCATCCACATACTTACATTATATGTTGGTTAACATGCGTAGTATATGTATTCCGATTGAAATTAATTTAATCAGATATCAATATTCCAGATTTTGATGTAGGCAGTTATATACGTCGAAAAGTTCCACTAAATCAACTGTTCTGTTGCACATTCAACCGGTATCTTCCCAGCACTTTTTCCATTCTAATTTTAGGCTTGTTGGAATTCTGTTTACATATTTTTAAAAATGTTCCTGTTATTTTAACTATATAATGTCTTCTAATATTTCTGCTACTGGTCATCGGCGGCACAATATTCCAACACAAACGCATAAAAAGCCACATGGATTTCACCGGATCACACTAATCAGAACCAAATCGACCATGTATGTATCAATAAAAAATTTAGAAGTACCGTGGAAGATGTGAGAACCAAGAGAGGAGCTGATATAAGATATAGCGTCAGATCACCACTTGCTGGTCGCAGACACAACAGTAACTACAAAGATACTCTACATTTTCTTCAGCAAGATTTGAGATGAAGAACAAGCACCATCAGACTAGAAAGAGGGATACCTCATCAAAATACCAAAGAAACGCGATCTCAGCAAGTGTGATTTTGCAGTTGAATCCATCATAAGAATTCTGTATGATGTTAACTATTTTCTCAGGCACACCCTAGTGTCGAAAAAGCCTCCATAGTGTTTCCCTATCCACGCTATCGAATGCTTTCTCGTAGTCGATGAAGTTGATGTAGAGTGGTGAGTTCCATTCAATTGATTGTTCCACAATGATCCGTAATGTAGCAATTTGGTCAGTACACGATCGATCCTTACGAAATCCGGCCTGTTGATCTCGAAGTTGGGCGTCTACGAAGTCCTTCATTCTGTTTAACAATACCATGTTGAAGACTTTGCCTGGTATTGAGAAAAGAGTGATGCCTGTGTAGTTCTCACATTTGCTGAATTCGCCTTTCTTTGGTATTTTGATGAGGTATCCTTCTTTCCAGTCTGATGGTACTTGTTCCTCATCCCAAATCTTCTTGAAGAGGATGTGAAATATTTTCGCAGTTGCTTCTACATCTGCTTTCATTGCCTCTGCTGGAATGTTGTCTGGTCCTGCTGCTTTGCCGTTCTTGATTTGTCTGATGGCCATACTGATCTCAATCGTAGGTGAATCAATATTAATTGGGAGGTCCGTGGTTGCTGCTTCGATGTTGGGTGTGTTCAGTGGAGCTGGTCGATTCAGGAGTTCCTGAAAGTGCTCTACCCACCTATTTCGCTGTTGTTCAGTGTTGCTGATTACTTTGCCTTCCTTACTTTTCACTGGTCGTTCTGGTTTACGATAGTTCCCGGCGAGCTTCTTTGTTGTTTCGTACAATTGTCTCATGTTTCCTTCTCTTGCAGCCTTTTCCGCCGTCATTGCTAGATCTTCCACATATTTTCGTTGGTAGGTGCATAACATTGGATGACGTTCATTGTAATGTCCTCTTTCTTTGTTTTGAAGGATGCTTTAGTGATCCTGGGTCCATGAGATTTCCATCTTATCAGTGCCTTTTGTGCATGTTTGGACAGCATCAGTGCAACTCCTTGTGTATGTGAAGCATTTTCCTCTTCATGACCAGAGTATAACAGCAGTTCCCCTGAAGCTAGTCTCAGTTGTCCTGCCTGTTTCCAATGCGTTTCACTGATGCCAAGCACCTCGAGGTTGTATCTTTTCACTTCTGCCGCAACTTGAAATAGTCTTCCAGTCTCCCACAATGTACGAACGTTCCATGTACCTAAAAAAATGGTTGCTCTGGTTGTCAGAAGAGGCATCAGCCCCGTGACTTCCGAGGGAACTCGGCTTTCATCACGCGACGTCATAATCGTTCTTCCAACTCCCAGGGCAGAGTTAAAATGGTTTGGATTAGTTTTTCTGGTTAGCGTTTTTTTGGCAAATTAGATTTCGACGGAATGTGGTCGCCAACCTGTGGTGTTTGAATGAACTAGTAACTTCTTGTTGTTGTGGAATGCTTGATTTCGAATTCTAAATACCATACATTCGTTTGTGCCTATCTGTAATTCTTGATACATATACTTCTAATTACTACACTGGCGTCGCGATGGAACTTGTAATGGAACAGCTAGATATTCATTCTACTTCTGAAGCTTTTGAAGATTATTTGGAAAGGTTTGAAATCTGGAGTATGACCAGGAAAGATGTCAAAGATGATAAAATTGTGGCTCATTTCCTAACATTCATCGGAAAAGAAGCGTACAGCTTATTGAAAACCTTGGCATATCCAGAAAAACCTATTTCACTTCCCTATGCAATGCTTAAGGAGTTATTATTGAATCATGTAAAGTGCCCTGGTTTTGAATGCCGTGAGAGAGCGAAATTTCATAAGATGATTCGTCAAAATGACCAAAATGTTAAGGAATTTATTCTTGAATTGCAGAAACAGGCTGTCAAATGTAATTTTGGTGATCAACTTCATGTGCAGCTGAGAGACCGATTAATTGCAGGAATTAACATACCTAGTTTGGAAAGAGAGCTGTTAAGAATGTCAAACTGTTCCTTTCAAGATGTTAGAACTGCGTGCATTAACTACGAGGCGTTGAATGAACTTGATATTCAGTCGATGAAGATTTCCAATACTTTGATTAGTTGTCATGATGAAAAGCGATCTCAGGGTCAATCAAAGTTGTGTTCGTTTAACAGAGGTTCCTATTCTCGTGTAAAAATGAACGGTGTCTCAAAAAAGAATTACAAAGGAAATCAAAAAGGTGAGACCAAGTTTGGCAAATGTTTATCATGTGGAAAACTTCATTCTCGTTATTATTGTACATTTCGTAATGCTAAATGTTTTAGATGTGGTAAGATAGGACACATTCAAGCAGTATGCAAAGCTACTGTTCATTTTGCCTCAAGTAGTGCTAAAGCTTGTAATTTAGATTCCAATAATTCAGCTGATCCTAATGATCATTTATCTTTAACTACCATTTCGAAAGGTAATGCTCATATTCAAAAGCGACTATATACATCACTTGGTTCATTTCATGACTTTATTGTGGATACAGGCGGTATAGAGTACATTATTTCATTCAAGAACTTGAAATCGTTAGATCCGAACGTTGTGATACGACCCACTGATGTATCAATATTGGGGATTACTGGACACAGACTGCCTATACGAGGATGTTGTGAATTGCTAATAAGAGATGATAATTCCTCATACATACCATGTGAATTCTTAGTTAGGGAAACGGGACTGTCAATACTGGGTTTAAAGAATTTGAAAAGGCTTAAAGTGGAGTTCTCCGCCAGTAGAACCTTCGGGGCTACTGCCGGTCCCAAGCCCGGGTAAAGGAGGAGGGTTGGACATGGGGTTGGCGACCCCATTCCGTCAAAAACTAACTTGCCAAAAAAGCGCTAACCAGAAAAAATAATTCAAACCATTTTAACTCTGCCCTGGGAGTTGGAGGAAGAATTATGACGTCGCGTGATGAAAGCCGAGTTCCCTCGGAAGTCACGGGGCTGATGCCTCTTCTGACAACCAGAGCAACCATTTTTTTAGGTACATGGAACGTTCGCACATTGTGGGAGACTGGAAGACTATTTCAAGTTGCGGCAGAAATGAAAAGATACAACCTCGAGGTGCTTGGCATCAGTGAAACGCATTGGAAACAGGCAGGACAACTGAGACTAGCTTCAGGGGAACTGCTGTTATACTCTGGTCATGAAGAGGAAAATGCTTCACATACACAAGGAGTTGCATTGATGCTGTCCAAACATGCACAAAAGGCACTAATAGGATGGGAATCTCATGGACCCAGGATCATTAAAGCATCCTTCAAAACAAAGAAAGAGGACATTACAATGAACGTCATCCAATGTTATGCACCTACCAATGACTACAATGACGACGTTAAAGATCAATTCTACGAAAGGCTGCAGTCAATCGTCGAGAAATGTTCACCAAAGGATTTGACTATTCTTATGGGAGACCTGAATGCCAAGGTTGGAATGGACAACACTGGATATGAAGACATCATGGGACGACATGGACTGGGAGAAAGAAACGAAAACGGTGAGAGATTTGCAAACCTATGTGCCTTCAACAAACTGGTCATCGGTGGCACAATATTCCCGCACAAACGCATACACAAAGCTACATGGATTTCACCGGATCACACTACTCAAAACCAGATTGATCATATCTGTATCAACAAAATGTTCAGAAGGACTATGGAGGATGTGAGAACCAGGAGAGGAGCTGATGTAGCCTCAGATCACCATTTGCTAATCGCCAAAATGAAACTGAAACTAAAGAAGCACTGGACAACGGGACAGACAACATCGCACAAGTTTAATACGGCCTTTCTTCGGGATACTGTAAAGCTCAACGAATTCAGGATAGCCCTCACCAATAGGTTCCAGGCCTTTCAGGATCTACACAATGGAGAGGACACAACATTGGAGAACAATTGGAAAGGGATTAAGGAGGCAATCACTTCAACATGTCAGGAGGTCCTTGGTCGCAAGAAGCAGCATCACAAGGAATGGATCTCTGTTGATACTCTCGCAAAAATTGAAGAAAGGAGGAACAAGAAAGCAGCAATCAATGTCAGCCGAACGAGAGCGGAGAAAGTTACCGCACAAGCTGCATATACAGAAGCAAACAGGGAAGTGAAGAAGAGCATCAGAGCTG